TGCAAAAATAATGGATTTCTTTTTACCTAATATATCTCTTTTTTTAAAAAATGCTGACCACATAAGTTATTATCATAGCGCATTACGTATTTTTTAATATTGAAAAGTTTCATCTTACACAATGTACAATTAAAGCTATTCAACAAAATATGTATAATTGTTTTAGCATGCTGTGATAGAGCATTATGATTAAAAATCTTGCAAGAATATTTTTTTAACCATTTTTGTGTATTATATTTGTATATTAAGAGTTTGAACAATTAAACTTGCAACAAATATTTTCTTGTATGTGAGATTAATGTTTTTTCGATAGTATTGGTAGCACACAATGATGACAACAGTAATAATAATTAATTAACAGATTGTATACAGATATAAAAAGAATATGTAATAACATATTATGTTATTGATAAGAGTTAAAGACTGTAATTATCAGATATATTTCTTATTGGGCTCATTAAAAGCTCATAAGAAAGGGCAACGTCATTTAGATATATGATATTCAAATGTACTGTCACTGCATTATATTATTTAATTTTATATTTTTGTGATATTTACCATAAAAGAATTGCAACTATTTAATAATACAAATTTTCACATACATAGAAAGTACATTATTGTAATATTTGATCAATAATATCTCATCCAAAGAATCCTTATGTTGTAACTTATAATAGAGCGTAGTATTTTTTGTACTGAAATTGTTCCTAGATACTTCTACTTTAGATATAAATTCTTTTTTATGTGTGAGATTTTATTGTAAGAATCGATATTGCATATAGGTGTGCGTGCGTGTATATACAGGGTGTATCAAAAATCTGGAAACGGTCGGAATATCTTAAAAGTAAAGCATTTTTGGAAAAAATGTTTCCAACAAAAGTTGTAGAATTTAAAAAGGTTTATTATTATTTATTCACTGATATCATCTATAATCTTAAGTAGCGTTGTCAAGGTCAGGTCAAGATCAAATTGATTTTTTTTAGGGAATGCCCTATTTTTGATGCCAGAATTTAATAGCTGATGTCAAGAGTTTTTTAAAACATTATAATTAAGTTATTTTTAATTAAGTACTTTTCAAATTATAAAATTTGAAAGTTATAATACCGTCGACATTAACATTACCCAACGTGTCCAATTAGCTAAAACCTCTTGAATATTATTCAGGATCATGTTCAATTCTAACATTTGTTCAAGGCCAAGCCCATTGAAGATTCCTATCATTATTCCTATCATTTGCATTTTTGCACTAAAAATTCATTTTTATGTAAAAATGAAAATAAGAGAAAAATACAATCTCTAATGATCTCTGATCTTGACAAATATTATCCAGGATAGATAGTTTGAAATCGCTAAAATAATTAAAATCTATCAAATTAATAAAGTTTCGACGATTTCAGCGATTTATTTCTATTAGGAACATCACAAAAAGATGGATATTGTTGTGTAGTTGACATCCACTTCTTTAAGTAGTAGTACGCAGCAACATTTTGCGATTACAGGTTTTGGGCCGTCATGTCCTCTCTTTTAGGTTTCTTTCTGCAAAAATGCTTTCGAGATATTCGACCGTTTCTTTATACTAGATTTTTTATACTGTTATAATATTATATATGTATGTATATAATTAATCCCTTATATCATGAAAGTCTTTTTCTGCTCAGTTTTTAATTATTTTTATGAATCTCTTGATTTGAATTAAGTAGATATTTTGTTTTCGTGGAGTCTCTAGAACATGAATAAATGTTATAAAAAATATAACCATAAATTTTTATTTGCTTAATTACTATAGTTAAATAATTAAAATTGATGTTATTTTATTAAAATTATTTTTTAATACATTTTTAAACTATTATCAATATTAAAACAACAATTTAGGTACTCAATTAAAACAAATAAAATAAGACAATAAAGTATTTTTTATAATTTTGTCAGATTTTTTCCATACGTTGTTTTTTTTTTTATTATAAATTAATCTTTGAAAAATATAGAAAAATCGATATTTTCTACTGTAAATCCAAATACAATAAATAATTTGAATATATCTCTTATAATGATCTAGGGGTTTTTTTGGCACACTGAGGGTTTTTTTCACTTCGGTTAAATTAATCGACGGTTTCATGGGACTCATTTAGGCCCGTTTCTATCAACACAAATTAACTTTAATCTCGATTCAACTTACTCTTTGCCTTTTTCTAGTTCTAAAGATTGGAAGTAAATTGAACCGAGAATTAAAGTTAATCTACATTGATAGAAATGGGCATTAGACCTAGTTTCACTCATGGTTAACTTTTAACCGAGATTTAACTTATTTTAAGTAATAATGAGTAATAATGAGTTGTGAAACTGGGTTTAATGTCCATTTCCTAAATGAGCTCCATGTAACCATCGATTAACTTAACCGAAAAAAAAGAGTTAAAAAAGATTTTGAGGCCCCTTCTCCCTCCCAATTTCATAACTCATGCCAGGTAACAAACTACGTCATTTTGTCGTCATTTTGACGTCAAAATGATGATAAAATGACGTAGCTTGCTACCTGAATGGTTAATTCTTAATCGAGGTTCAACTTGTTTCTTATCTTTTTTTAATTCTGAAATTAGAAAGAGACAATGAGAATAAGTTGAACCTCGGTTATGAATTAAGTCGTCAGTTGTGGAACTAGGCCTGAATCTGAGACTGGTATTCATAGTTTGTTCTTATTGATTGCGTTCAACAGAATACAACAGTTTTGCAACCCTTTTATGATTCTCTACTGAGATAGGTCCGTTTCTCTTGAGCTCTAAAAGCGTAACACAATCAGCACGAAGAAAACTTCCAAAAATTGCAAAATAAATGTTTTGCTGAACGCAGCCATTTTAAGAGACAAATCAAGATACTAATGTAGCCCTCTGATTGGTTCATGACATCTTAAAACTATACTTAAAACGGTTCTAAACATAAGATCTAACTATATATACCGTCACAAAATTTCTAAATTTTAAAATAAAAAAAGCGAAACAATGAATCAAAAATGAAAAAAGTGATCTTGTTTAAAACTTCGTTTTTATGTATATTGATCGCTGCATCTGAGAATCTGAAGATCATTATTAAAATCTTTCCCACTAAATAATTAATTTTTATAAATAATGAAATACTAAATTTATAATTATTTTAAATCTAAAAATTATTTAAATTTTTGATTCGCCATTAAATTGTAAAATTCTGACTTCTAATTTATAATTAATGACTCAAAAAATTCCCGGATATAAAATTAGAAAAAATCGATTTCATACAAAAATTCGTGACACAAAGGATTAAATGTAAATGAAACAGAGATTTTCTAATATCTCTGCTAAAAGTTCCAAGCATTCATATGAATTTGGACATCTGGTTAAATGATTTCTTGCACTGGAAATTCTGTTATCCAAAATACATTTGAAATTCCAGATAAATTTCACATAAACTCTTGTCTGTTAATCCCGTTTTGTCCGATGCATATTTGGAATTCTAGATAATTCAGAATAAATTCGTTTATTATTTGTTTTCAATTGAGTAAAAATCTTCATGCAATTACAGATCCATCTTTTATTGGGAAATCCATAAAAAGTCGTCTATTAATTTAAACACAGGAATACTCTTATATAAACTGGATTGTATTATTGTATTTCCTCATAAAAACTAGTAAACTTTATGTCGTAAATTCTTTGCAATACCTAACGTATTTGGAATTGCAGGTGTAAACAGACAACATTTTTATCTGAGAATCCAACTATGTACCATGAAATGGACATGTTTATATAACCAGATTTAATATTTACTTGGATGAATTTTATGCCAATTAAAGACTGATTTGTCCATGTCTATTCTGATGTGAGCGAATGTACTTTTTATTTGGATATAACTGAAATTTTTAGCATGGATTGCTCAGTCTCTAATGCTTGATACCAACTTACATATCTAGAAATCTAGATTCATATAAATTATGAATAAACAGAATATAGAAATATATATTTTAAGTTATATATTTTAAACGTTTTATATCTTTGAATATACGAAAAATCATAATGACAGAGAGAGCAATACTAGATTTAAGTATACTTTAGAATTACATTTCAAAACTGAAAATTAAATCGGCACTCAGTTTACAAAACTAGATGTGTATATATTAAAAATTCATACTGAAATATTATATTAAACATTGAAATTTAGCTCAGATCGAATAAAGTATTTTCCTACTCAAAATAATCTACGTTCATTAAATATATATGTATGGATATATAAATAAATACATAAATAAATAAAGAAAACATAATAGCAGAGACAAAATGGAAAATGTTCGATTGTAGAAAAATAAAATTATATGCATATGTACGTATTATGAATATTTAAAATAATACTTATTTAAAAAAAATATATTTAGAAGATGTAACACAGAATTTTTTATGTTTTACTATGTTTAGAATATGAAGGAAACAAAATTTGAAATGTTCTATTCTCCAATATTCAATTTTTATAATTTTGCAGCTATAATTATAATATATGCCATAAATATATATATTTCTATTATATATTCTCATATTCAAAATTTATAAGTATATAATCCTAAAAAATATCCGATAAGAATTGATATTTGATAAAAATAAAATAAAGAGATATACAAGGTGGGCCATTTAAAATTTGGAATTTAATTTGGCTCTAAAAAAAAAACGCATGAATATTTTTCAAAGTTTATGGCTCTATTGGAAAGGTAGTATATTGCCATTTACCGAGATCTTTATTCAAAAGTTTTCTCAAAGAAGTGCGTGAAATGTTCAAGTTTTGAGAACGATGGAAAGTTGATGTTGATGGTTGTTCAAGCACACTCTGAGCAACCGCAGCAATGTTTTCGGTTGACCTTACTGGACGAGCACGTGAACGACTTGCTTTATCCAATAAGGATCCAATAAGGATCAGTTTGCCGAATTCGCTTCACAAATTGATCCACAAACTGCGTTGAAGGCATTTCTTTTCTGCCAAATTTTCCACGTAAATTTCTTACAGTTTGGGTTGAAGACTCACCACTTTGGAAATAAGTTTTCAACATTTCCCAATTTTGTTCGAGCGTATAGCGATCCATTTCGTAAATGTCAAACAAAAAACTAAATTTCTGATACGTCATAAATGTTATTACGTCTTTCAAACTCAAAATAATCGGTAATTGAAATTCCAAACGCTAAATGGCCCTGTATATGTCACAATTACATAAACACATTTATATCATGATATAAATTTTACATTTATATTTGTAGGTAATCATTTTTTTAAGCATGGAATCGAGTTACTGTTTTTGTAAAATATCTGATTAAAGATTTGATAATCATTATGTATTATTATATGAGATTCGATACATAAATAATTTTTTGAACAAGAATAAGAATTTTAGGATGTATAGATAAATAAGACAAGTAAGTTTATAAAGTTTTAATCTGTTACAAAAAAGTTCACACGTTCTCAATATTCAAATAAAATAGCGCTGCGTGTAGTTATTAATTTTTCCTGATTTATTTAATACATGAATATCGCACAATGATTTTAGAAAAATAAGAGTAAATTACAATAATGTTATTAGAAATGTACACAGTGATTATAATGTATTACCTTCATAATATGACAAAAATTGTAATAAAAAAAATTAATGTATATACGTGTGTATGAATAAGCAAAAACTGCAATATCTTTTTTTTTTTATATTCAATTTGATTAGATTAGAACTCGCCAGACTTCGTGTAATACAATAAATATAAAAATGCGTGCGTGCGTGCGTGTGTGTGTGTGTGTGTGTAAGGATTGCGCGCGCGCGCGTATATATAGAAAAATTTAAATATGGAACGAAATTGTGTATATCACGTATTTTTTAAACAGAAACATGAAATTGATCCATTATTAATGATACTTTTATAAAACAAGACGTAGTACTTTGTATATTTCTGCATAATACAAAATGTAATAATGTTCACAGTGATATTCATTTTTAATATAACTGTTGTATGTAACTTGTTAAATCAAACATGTTCATGTTCATGTTATAAATAATTTAACTTGCTAAATGTAATTTAAAGAAAATTTTTAACAAGATCATATATGTTTGCCGCGAATTTTTTTTACTACTATTCAATCATATATAATTTATTCGTGGACACAAATATTATTGCATTGCACAATGATACGATAATTATATTTATCTCGATAGAGTGATCTCGTGCAGAAAATGCATCCTTGAAAGAACCAGAAATATTTTTTCAGTTCGCAAGCAATACGGTTGTTATATAAATAAAATGTGTATGTGTATATGTATTTTGACAACATATTATATATTCGTGTACATTACAGAAAAAAAAAAAAAAAAAAGAAATTTATTATCTATATGAGAGAAAATACTCGTTGAATCATATGAGAACGGGACTTTACATGAGGATGTATAAAATGCATATTGCATGGCGCACGTAACAGTCCCAAAGAATTGGCTATCATTGTGTTACAATAAATTGCTATTACATTATTCGAATAATAATAATACGAGTGTGTAATTATGTGTCTATGGAAAATGGAATACCAAGAACTTATATGTATATATAAAATCTATCTTAATCATATTCTACGTATTATGTGTCAGACAGTTCTTGGTATCGCGCGTACATCATCTTTTTCACGCAATCCTTATAGGTATCGCCTGGTAGTGCGCTGTATGACGAAGTCTTCGCTCCTAAGCCGGCCGTAGGGACGCGTCTCTCCGCTTCAATAATACTTGTTCGACCTTGATTAGATTTTCCTAAACCCATTCCTTCGCTCCAGCCCATCTTTTGCAGTAATTTATTGCCAACGTTATCGGACCCGATACCGACTCGTGTAGGCTCCTCGTATGATACCGACATCTCCTCTACTTTAGTTTTTAAATATTTCTCCTTCAATTTATTGGGCTGCGGTGGTTCGGGTTCACCATACTTGGCCCTCCTTTCCTTGGCACGATCTCTGTATTTATTATTTCTCTGCTGTGGATCATTGGGATCTAGACCACGTACTTGATACCAGTTTTCCAGATTTTGTTTGTGAAGATCAGACAATTGTTGATGACGGAGCAACCCCTCCTTGCTTGGGAACTGTCTTTTACAGAGTAAACATGCCAGCTTACTCCAATCCGTATGTTGTCTCTCTTCCTGTTGCACGTCTTCTATCTCCTCTTCTGTATCGCTACCACCTCCGTAAGCAGCTACCAATCCATTACCGCTTTGATCTTCATCTTCGTGGTAAGGATTCGCGATAGTTTTCTTTTCCAGAATAGCATATCCCGCGTCTGCCGCGCCACTTCCAACACCCTGATTGCCATCCATACCGGCGAACTCAGAATTCCAATTACTCTTGGCATTCTCCTTTTTCTGATTTAAAGTCTTTGCCCAACGTTCCATATCTTTTGCTATCTTCTTCGCTACTTTCACTTTGTCCTGTTTGCTGTCCTTCTTTTTATTCTCATCCTCTTTTGATGCCTCCTGAGCATTACCGGCTGACAAAGCTTGATTGCCGATTATATTCGTGGAATCTATACTACTTGCCGTTGCTGTTATCGTACTCGTAGCTCCCTGCGTTGTACTTGCAGTAGTCTGTAAACAATATGAAAATATTCGTTATGATATTTTTAAACACTGATAAATGATATTCTTTTATAAAATTCTATTTTAATTACTTTAGCTGGTTGATAAGAAAATGATTCAGCGTCCCAATAAAGAAACTGTTGCGTATGACTGTTGTAATAATATTGCGAGTTTGGGTCATAATATAATCCCGTGCTAGGATCATAATAGTAGCCAGATGATTCATCATAATGATAAGTGCTGACGTCTGGTACAGCTACAAAAATAATAAATACAGAATTAAAAAACAATTTATCTAAAATAGATATAAAAAGTGGAAAAAGTTCTATGGAAACTCACAATATATTTTCCCATCGCTGGAGTGTGCAGGAATCCTTCCGCTCGCTAATGCTGTACTGGAAGGTGCTGTAGGAGTTGGTCGTCCTTTCACGTCATCGGTTTCACCTCCTAGCTTTCTAGACGCCTGCAATTGTTGTATAGCGGATTGTGCTACCGCTGCGGCCGCGTTTACTCGATCTGTTTGATTCAGAGATGGCAATGTGATTGCTGAACCTTGTATTATTTGATTTTGATAGTACTGCGTATAATACTGAAGGTAATGAGCCTTTTGTGCAGGCGTTTTAGCATACAAGTTGGCACTATATTCAGCCAATTGAGCGACATCGTCCAAAGTATATCTCTGTGGCTGAGTATCGTTCGATTTCCACGCGTTGGCATTATTAATTTGATGAAGTTTACAATACGTTATCTCCACCTTCCTGCCATCGACCACCAGTCCTTGTTTCGTGAGTGCGGTATGCAAGTACATAGCATCTACTACATTGCCCATCTCCAGATAGCATACTCCTCTAGACGTGTTCGTGAGAGAATCACGACCAATGCGAATACTACGTATTGGCATCGATGACAGATTCTTCATCGCTTGCAGAACCGAATCCTCGGTCGTTAATACATCTAATCCTCGTAAAAGCACAGTGTTTGTGGGATGCGGGCTGATTTCGTCGCTACCTTCCCCACCTTCCTCGCTCTCCGCTCGTGAGGCAGAACACTTGAAGCAAGTCTCGCGTCGTTTGAAATTATGTGCTCCACACTGTATAGAATAAATATAAAGCAGTAATGAATTATTTATGAACATCCATATTCTATGAAAGAGCAAACTTGTGACATGAACCTTAACGCAATGCCAATCTTGCGTATTCTTCGCTGGCGGTTTATCCACATGGCACTCTTTTGGTATACTGTACTGCATCAGTGCGCGATATTGATCCTGCAGCATCAGCACTCCCTGAAACAGAGAATTTCAGTGTTATCCCGTCCAATGTTTCCCTAAGGCCTCTTTTCTTTCCCGTAAACTTTCTTCTTGGTTGACGAAATTACAGTTTTCTACTTCATAGCTTTCTGTCTCAAACAGCGAACAAAGCCTCATGGGCTTATTAACATGGGTCATTCCATACCGCTTGCAGATCAACTTGTTCATGCGCGCACTTTATATATAGATAATCATTTCAATCGTCATTTAAATTTTCGTAAGAAAGTGCAGGCAAGTAACACGGGAATTGCTTGCGAGTAATAAATTTTCATGTTTCAATAAAAAATTCTTTCGTGCACAATTTCCATAGAAACTTTGAACGTCGCAAGTAATTGCATTAAATACTAAGCAAAACGGCAGAAGCAAAGATATAAATAATACAATAAAAAAGCGAATTACGCGAGTAGCAAAAATCAGTAAAAGTAGTTCGGATAATAGTCAAAATGATATATAAAATACGACTGGAATGACCCTACTCCGGTCTTTATAATTAGTTCGCGAATTTTAGATATGTAAAAGCACGCGACGCGGCGGAATCAAACGCAAACTACATTCAATATTGCGCGAGTATTGCGAGCGAGTTTAAGAAAAGTCGGCAAAATATGTGGAGATTCCTAGATAAATAATTAAATACGGTAGATTGAAATAGTTTTTTATAGGTGCACAGCCGTGGCCACGGGGAGGACCAGAGGGCTGCGTTACCGTGCCTTGCCGCCACGGGGCAGTCGGTGGCACGCGTGCAACAACGCATCGGTTGGGTATCTGGACCGAACTTCTTTCTACCTGTTTCATCTCCATCCATCGTGCGGCCTCCTGAGTCGCGTTAAACTCGACGAATGCGAAACCTCGCGAAGCACCTATACAGAGCAAATACACACATATCCAGAGTTAATCCACGTTTTTGCCTGGGTTTCTCTACTCTGAGAGGGCAGGCAATCACAGCACCGACCATTGACAGACTGAGTTTCAAACGAAGTGTCTCTTCGCTTCGTCGCTTGCTTTCCTTTTTCATTTACCTAAATTTCAGTAGAACGAATTCTGTGCGAGAGACCGCAGTTCACCGATATGTACGGGATAGCATATAATTTAAAGTTACGAAGTTACTTAGTTTTTTTTTCTCTTTTAAACGCCGAATCTTTGTCTGACCGAGACAAAAATCTCTTAATCTTCTTTTACCCTTCTACGCGAACAGACGAGAATAACAACCGAACCTAGACATATATTCACCATATACCGTTTTTTCTTTTATCTATATATAGCAGTAGTAGCAGTTCAATTTATAGATTAATGTAAGACATCGTTTTAATAATTTACAATATTATTTTATTTTCATTGGCAATATGAAGCTTTAAAAGCAAGGAAAATTCAAGAGATAGTAAGGAAAACTCAATTTTTTAAAACATTAATTGGCAAAAGTTGTGTGTGTCTGTGTGTGCGCGTGCGCGCACATACATATATATACACATATATATATATACAGAGTAAGTTTTAACAAAGCGTTCGTGTATAGATAGGATTGATTAAACTGAATCGAAAAATCCTCCACCATTTTACATTTTTCGCAATAAATAACGAAATATTAATTACTAAAAATTGCCGAAAATTGCTCTTTAATCATTTTTTTCTCAAATCAATCAACTTTACAGAAAAAACTGCAAGAGACAGAAATTATTTATTTTTCTTCTCATAGAACTCTAAGAATTTTTTATCAACTTTTTAGTATTGTATATTTTTCTTATTTTTATTAACATGAGAAAATATGGTATTATAATAAAAAATTCTGAAAAAATTCTGAAAAAATTTTCAAAATTTTATGAGAAAAAAAGAAACAATTTTTGTCTCTTACTGTTTTTCTATAAAGTTAATATTTGAGTAAAAAATTATTAAAGACCAAAATTCAGCAATTTTTAATAATTATTATCTTGTTAACTAATGCGAAAATTGCAAAATAGTAGAGGACTTTTCGACAGTTTAGTCCGCTCTATCTACACACGAACGCTTTGTCAAAACTTACCAGACATCCTGTGTATATATATATATATATATAAAATATATATACATACATATACATATTTATATTTTTGCAATTATATTTTCAATTATCTTTGAAACTTCATGTTACAAGAGAAATAAAAAAAAGCTATATTATTATTAAAATAATGTCTTCACATGTAATAAAAATATCCTAATTGAAGAGCTGTTATATTATATGTTTCACCAATTATAAATGTAAGTTATATTACCCCTACTGAAACAGTCGCGAATCTACCATTAAAATATAAAACGTAAAGTCTTTTTTTAATTTTTATAGATTACATAATTAAGAGAATGTAATAAAAAGCTTTTGAATTGTTTCACGTGATTTTAATAAGTAGCTTAATGTTCTCTTTTTAAAATTTCTCTCCTATTTCTTTACTTACCTTTTATAATTGATAATTAATAATTAATAGCTAAACCAATAATATTTCGGGAAATATATACAAATAGTATGAAGAAATATGATAATCTTAAAACTCTAAATAAGTAGCAATTTGTAAGAAACTCTTGTAAATCTCAACTCTTGTAAATCTATAGGATATGATTTTTTTATTTTTATGTAATTTGATAAACGCTAAAGATTGTATAAACCTAATGATACGCAACAATATCACAAATAATAATTCAATTGGTATGCATGATAATGATGTTACAAGGATGTTAAAGTTTTTAATACAATATAATAGTTACCTGTATCTTTTTTCCGTATTAGCCTGATGTCCTTAGGCATGAGACCACAGTTGAGGATGTCTTGCCGCACCTGTGATACACACATAATAATAATAATAATAATAATAATAATAATAATAATAATAATAATAATAATAATAGCGGATGCAATTCTCGATAATGCTGACTCACGAGTGGCCACTACGACAGGCCACTCAACAAAGTTGACAACCTACGTCATTTTCAGTAATATGCTGAGCGAGTCCACGTATCATTATGGTGTTGTTGGGCGATTGCGATTTGTAGTGGATCCCTTCCATGGACGAACCATAGGCACGACCATGATCGTGCTCAAAATCCAAACTTTCTCGACTATGATCATCATCACGATCGCGATCCCGATCCTCCCGTTTCCCCCTACGGTCCCTATCTCTATCCCGATCCCTGTCACGTCTGGAACGGTCTCTATCTCTGTCTCTATCTCTATCTCTGTCTCTTTCTACAGAGTCCCTATCTCTCTGTCTCCCATAACGATCTTCACGATCCCTATAGCTGCGATCACGATCGTCTCTGCTACGGTCTCGTCTATCCCTCGAACGATCTCTTTCGCGATCTCTTTCGCGATCTCTGTCTCTTCCACGGTGATTTCTGTAATCCGGACTACGATGATCTCTATCACGATGATCAACCTCACGATGTTCCGAATATTCTGGTGATCTGTTGTTTCCATAATCACTACGATAGTCATAATCGGAATTATGACTTCTTCTTTCTGGCCCATAGCCAGGCTCCCATGGATCGATGTTATTGCTGTACATGTTACTTGCACATTTATTCAATCAATTTTCTGAAAAAGAAAATAAAATTATCATTCTTCTTGACTCATTAATAATTACACAAAAATTTTGATTAACGATTTATTAAGACCGTATATATGTGAATATACAACAAGTAAGAGTTTAATGGTTGGCTTATTATAGTTGAAGCTGTACCTTTGACACTTTTTAAATAATTTCTATGTGAATTATATATTAAATATGTAATTATTTGAACTATTTTTTCGCAATAAATTTATTTACAGTTTTTCAGTACATTAACATCTTTCTTTAATAGGATGCCAGGTTAAGTCAATCAAATTAAATTGTTATCAATTTAATTTGTAATATTTATTATAGTAGTTTAATTGCGTTTATAAATCCGAAAAATCACTTCGGTGCGCAGTTTAAATGACTACTATTTAATATATAATTCATATAGAAATTATTTAAAAAGCATCTAAGATCCAGTTACGACCAAGTATTAAACTCTTACTTTCATTTTTGTACAGTATTTCAGAATATTTCAAACAAGTATAAAGTACATAATAGGGTGATTTCTAACAAGAGGCACAAATGACACAATCATTATGTCCTTGTTGTTCACTAATGTTAAACAAAGATGAAGTGATCACTATATTATCTGTGTCGCTTGTTGGAAAGCTTCCACAAAGCTTTCAAACATTACTTTTAATTTTACTGTTTTTCTTCTTCTACATATATAAACATATATATTTCAATATACAAAAATAAATATAAATTATATATTTATAGTACTTAAGTATTATTTAATTCCTCCAACATATCTAGGTTGCGTTATATTACTGAAATAGTGAATGAAATACTGAATAAGTATCATAATTTAAATAACACAAAAATGCATTTTAGATTTTTAAAATAATATTTAAAAATACAAATACGCAGCAGTAACAAAAATGTAACAATGCAAATGTATTATTTATTATATAGTAGGTTGTTTAATATTAAATTGATTTTTTTTCGAGGCGTATAAAAACATCTATTTAGAAATGTTATTTTACACTTAAGCTATGTCAGAAATACTACTTAAAAATTTTTTGAGTTTTATTTTATCATTCACTTAATGTTAAACAAGGATAAAATGATGAACTCGGAAGCATTCTGGTAGTGTCTTCAAATACAATCTTATAGTGTGAGATTTTTTTCGAAATTTTCCAGTTTTTTATAAAACTGAATATATACTCAATCAAAAATTTTCTTCAGAATATAAACTTGCAAAAATTTGGGAAATATCTCTTAAATTCCCGAAGAAATATATAAAATAATATTTCTTATAGGTACTACTTTCAAGAAAATTAGTCCCATTAATATTTAAAAATTACAAAGAAAGAATTGTGTGAAAATTGCTTTAATAGTTATAAGTATACATTAACAAGCACAGAATTTAAAACGTCTTTTTAAAACTTTTAAATTCAGATTCTTTGTCACGACTTAAGTATATTAAAAAAAACTTAAATATATTAAAAAAAAAAAAAGAATTATAAATCGATACAATAGCAACTTTATGAAACTATGATAGCAATGGAGTTTATATTCCATCCAATGTAATAGAACTGAGAACAAGCGGCAATAGGCCTATTCGCTTTGCTTGCACTTTCTGTACTCGGCATCTTCATTTTCTTTCTTTTCAACGCCCAAATATATATATATATATCATTTCAAGTTCAAACATTTTGAGAGATTTCAAGCAACGCAACAGACCCTACGACTCGGTAAAGCGCGGATCCCAGCGAGATGTTCATCGCGTTTCGAGTAAAAATACGCAGTTTGGGGTGACGCGAATATATACAATATGTACGTTCCGAGTTCCGAATTACGCATAAAGCGCATGAGGTATTTTATTCTTTATTCTTCGGTACACAACAAGGGAAAATTATACATCACGCGCTTTGTGCGTAATTCGGAACGCACCCAATATCTCAACATAGCGCAGTATTGAATAAACCTTACCAGCTCCAACGATTCCTCGTTTTAGTCTGTGCGAATGGACCTCCGAATTGACAATGGCAAGGAACGTCGCAACACTTAATATTCGCTGTTTCACGATTAGCTGAATGCACGGCGAATGGAATATATTAATTGATATTAATGTAACGCGCACACAAATGATGGTACCGAGTACCTCTTCCGAATATTTCTTCCGCAAAATATGGCGAACACAGAACAATGGCGAGTATAGCGTATGCAAATGGTGATTCCGAGTTCCGAGAAGAACATGATGAAAGGCACAGGCCATGTGTTATACAATAATAGTAGATGGTTCCACTTGACGCTACAAATGACGCTTCGAAGCGTTTGATTGACCAATCGGAAGAAAGAATTTTACTAATTGACCAATCAAAAGATGATGCTTCGAAGTATTTGTAGCATCAAGTGGACCGTAGCCAATCAGAATAGTGCTTTAGATCTATGTATTCTAACGGAAATAGAAATAGCAGTAAACTTATCCATAAGACGAGTTTCTCAACTGGTTGAAATTTTATTGCGAGGTTACGGAGGTTATTAAGTTAGGGGCGAGGGAAGGGGGGGAGGGGGCTCCGCACACATCAGGAAATCTGTGTATTACACAATACATTTCTGATAGAAAAGAATTGAAATTCGGAGCTCCTTATTGTTACTTTCATTTCCATTAGATTACATAGACCTATAGCAATGTCCTGATTGGCTCATCGGCTCAAGTTTACATCTTAGGATGCGGTCCCAATTGCGGTTGACTGGAATTGGAGTTAATCACGATTAAGCTTGATCGGCATTGCACAGTGGGAGCATCAAGGATTTCAAAAAGTAGCCAAAATTCATCTTTTGATATTGATATAAAGAATTATATTATCTTATTATATAGTAATGAAAGTAATAATGAAAGAACACAAGTTTTATGAACATAAATAAAGTATTTTCTTATTAATAGGTCTTTAAAATTTTAAAAAATCTAAAAAGACGAACCCCCAATTTATGAAAATATATCGTATATTTTCAAATATGCTGGCAATATGAAAGTGTCTATTTTATTTCCAGGGATGTTGACGTTTGCAATAATTAACCTGAAGTAATACATGCTGTAGTCAACAAGGCCGCCGTCCCATGAGCGGAAATTTGCAACAGCATGGAACAGCGAGACCAATCATAATCGCAGAAAAGAAAGAGACAAAGTATGACTGCAGAATTGTGATTGGTTGCGCTATTCCGTTCCGCTATAAATTTTCATTCATGGGACAGCGGCCTAAGGAAAGACATGCTGTAATAAGTAAAGTATCAAATTTTCACAATTTATAGCAATAAACTCCCTACCCCCCAATTAAGCATTCTTCTACAATACATTCCTCTTCTTATAGAAATGTTAATGGTTTCTATTTTGTTCCTATTACTGTACACTTTCACTTAGATATGTAGCAAATATGCGGCATTTGACCGTAGCTCAAAATTTGTCTCAAACGCATCTGTGCACGAGTCTCAAAATTTGTCTCAAACGCATCGCTGCCGTGTCGCGCTTACCCCAAAAAGTAGCAAAAATTCAAAATGATGAATTCAAAATAGAAATTTCGGCCTTGTATAGCGAAAGTGTAACAAAACTAGTAGAAAGTTTGTAGAAAGTTCGATTCGTGATAAAAATGTAAAGCTTGTCGAAGCGTGAAAAGCTTGTCAAAGAAGTATGAACAAAGAATTTTAACGCTTCTTAAACACTTCATTGACTTTCCATTGAGTGGTTTCCTCTTAGTAATTTTGAATATTCATACACGCTTCACGAACTCTCCTCAAACGTTTCGTAAAATGTGCCCGAAACACATTTGTCTCATTTACCACATGTTAAAAATTTTTTTTTTTTCATTAACGTTTCTCATACGCTCCTCAACATTCCGTAAAGAATGCATGGAGCGTACTGATATACTTCCTAAACACTTCATTCATTAATACTTTGTCTACATTTTCTAAACGCTTTTGGTAAAAAGTAGCATTCAAATACGCTTCGTGTATGCTTTCAGGATGTAGAGATAAAAAAATTTATTTTAAAACGGAGCGTCGTTGAGTAGTACGTGGCACCGCCGCGTCAGAGAGACTTGGCGAGAACTAACTTTTTGAATTTAAAAAACCGCATATACTAGGATAAAAAAGACGTAGCATTGAAAGATTTTTCAGTTGTGTTCTAATGAAATAATTTTTTGAAGTGAGGTCCTAGAGCTCCAAGAAGAAAGCATGTCACTTTTTTTTTATTTACCGAATAAATGAAATATATTTTAAAATATATTATCATTCGCTTAAAGACCTCGATTACATTTTATTCACATTCGTTTAAGAACGGAACTCGACGATGTTCCATTTACGTTCTCTAGACTGCCTAATCACACTCCGTTTACATTCACGAACATTTTGCTCGTCCTTGCCAAAGAATCTATTATTACTTTATCTATTATTACTTTTATTAATGTTTCTTTAACGTTTAGTTGATGCTTCTTTTACGTTCCATGTTCTAATTTTCGCTTCTTACAGGTTTCTTTTACGTTTCTGTTATTCTCTCCTTACACTCCAATTAATGTTTTATTGACACTCGCTTTACGTTTTATTTTTATCAGAGGTATTCCCAATGTGCTGAATATTTCGGATATTCGGTAAGGAAATCGCCACAGAATGTACAAATGTCGATGAAATGTTCAAATTATTGTATTATTATTAGGTGTACAACTTTGCTTCCGCCGTTTTCCTATAGATGGCTTTAGCGGTAAGTGGTGATCGAAATAAATAGATCATAGACGTCATACAATAAACTTGGGCATCTGTCAACATAACCCCATAGAAACATTAGTCGATTTGTGTCTGCATCATAAAGTTATTCTCGATTGAAAATGTCAGTTTACGAGTCAAATTCTCGTCATTTGTGGAAGGTTTTAATCTTTTGCTTCAATATGAAGAAATCTGCGGCTGAGGCTCATCGAATGCTCTCAAATATTTATGGTGAGGCCGCTATTAGTGAAAGAACATGTCGTGAGTGGTTTCAACACTTCAAGAATAGTGATTTTGACGTCGAAGATCGGCATGGCGGTGGAAGAGAGAAGGTTTTCGAAGATGCAGAAGGCATCTTGGAGGCATTACTTGAGCAAGACTCGTGTCAAAATCAAGAAGAATTGGCACAATCATTGGGAGTGACTCAACAAGCCATTTCAAAACGCCTCAAAGC